AAAAACATGTTTTGGGGGGCCAAATATCGTTATTTTTGACGTCAATTGTGGGCCGGTAGGATTATTTTAACATTCAATAATGACCTGAAATGCTGTTGATATTTGGTTGATTTTAGGTTGTGTTGGAAAGTGACCAAAGTCCAGTGTCGAGCCAACATCTTAAACCAACGTACTGACGTGAGATCTTGACATTTATTCGTCAGGTATGGCAACCAAAATCCAACGTCTGATAGATGTCATATTAGTAACGTCCACACAACGTCAAGCTGTAACATCATTCGACATTAATATTTTGTTGTTTTTTAGGTTGTGTTGGAAAGTGACCAAAATGTAACGTCTGTCTGACATTGGACATTGACATCAGCTTGACGTTGAGTTCTGATGTCAACCCGAATATTATTTACAAACAAAATGCAACGCCCCCACGATGTTGGGGTACAACGTCAATCTGATGTCATGTTGGCGTCCTGTGCCTGCTGTGAGGTTTTAAAAAAGATTTCAAAATATTTCAAATATGCAGGGGGAGCAGAAACCAAAAAACCCTTAAAGTTCAGACGGAGACGGAGGTTTGTGTATCTTTTACGTAACCTGCCAATGAAAGGTAATAAGACATTAATACAGCTTGCTTCACAGACGGATGGACAAACAAGTCTGAACCTGTGCTCTCCTGCACTCACACACAAGATTATGCATTGCTTTTGATGGAGTACATAGTTAAGACTCGGCCGCTTATATATTATCAGGAGAAAGTTTGGCCTCCCGCTTCAGTCTCTGTGGCAACTGGCCCATAAAAACCAGCGATGCCCCCATTGGCCGACCTCCCCACATCGCTAGCAGTCCGGGCACTCGGCCAAACGTCCAAACATTTCAACCTGCAAAGATGCTGTCGCCAAGTGCTCACGCCAATTCATGAATAAAGGTAAAGGATGCTGGTTTCACTGGTCTCTGAGGAGCATGTGGCTCCGCATGAGGGGGTTTATGGAGTCTGCCGCTCACCTATACACTTTGGAGGAGGATCCAGGGTAGAATGGGAGTAAAGTATAACTCAAGTGTGGATGACACAGGTATTCTAGAGAAATATTTAACAGAAAGTGCTTATCTAAACACTCTGAGATATCCTCATGCACACTAAGATACACTAGCAAAAAGTAATATTTATGAACACTTTGAATAATTTAAAGTGATATATTGTCTGGGTTGGTGTTTATATTACGTTATAAAAAACCTTGCAATAAACTGCCAGTACAATTTTTGTTATTTTACAGACTTATTTCTTTACATATTATTTCTTATACATTACATTATTTAAATTGCTAAAATGTCAATTTCAAGTCAGATCAAAGTATCATAATCCAATTCACAACCGTTAATAAATGAAAAATACTTGTGAATCACAAAATTCATTGATTAACATATATTTATGGTGGCTTGAGAAAGCCAACATACTGTTATAATACTACATACATGTCTTTTTCTTCTGAGACCAATTTCTTTGTATGCATCTCCTTCTAAACGGTTCATACTACAACCACCAAACTAACACCAAACTTCCAAACTGGTCTGACTTGGGTTGCAATAACTTTTCCAATTGATCCGACTTATGGTTTTCCGAAAACTGACCCATATAATTCACAAAGGTTCCGTTGACTTAACATTGGACCAAACTTTATGACCTCATGAATATGCGCCAGACTGTCATACAACAACAGCCTAGCAACCAGTCAGAACACCCTAGTAACCACCTAACAACACCTTAGGAACCACCTAGCAACCACCTAGCAATGCCTCAGCAACCGCCTAGCAACCCCTCAGGACACCTTGGCAACTGCCTAGCAACACTTTAGCAAACAACTTAGCAACCCCCTAGCAACACCTTAACAACCAGTCAAAATACTCTAGCAATCGCCTAGCAACCACTCAAACACCCTAGCAACGCCTTAGCAACCATTCAGAGCCCCCTATCAACTGTCTAGCAAGAAATATGCCAATCCATACTAGAAACATGCTACATATATATAATTATCCATCTATGCCGACTGTCAAGCTGCTTAAAAACTACTTTAGTTACTTAAACTTTAAAAGTACTTTAAACTTTCAGACGAGGCTTTCTGAAGTTTGAATGAATGGTTCTCCTTATCTAATAATGTTTAGATTTTAAACTTAAAGTGCTCAAAATTAACTTGTTAGAGTTCATTGAGTAAAGAATTGTGTTTGCTTGGGTTTCCTCCGGGTGCTCCGGTTTTCCCCACAAGTCCAAAGACATAAGCTATAGGTGACTGAGTAAGCTTAATTGTCCTTAGTGTATGAGTGTGAATAAGTGTGTATGGATGTTTCTCAGAGATTGGTTGCAGCTGGAAGGACATCTGCAGTGTAAAACATATGCTAGATAAGTTGGTGGTTCATCCCACTGTGGTGACCCCTGATTATTAAAAGGACTAAGCTGAAAAGAAAATGCATAAATGAATGAATAAAGAATAAAAATATTCAAAACAATCTTGAGAAGTAATTTTAGCCAAATCTAAAAGTACATTATATTGCATTACAATAAGAAATTTCTATGTTACATTTGACATTGTTTGGTTGTTGTGTTTTAATGCATTACACTTACTAAGATAATTGTCATGAAACTCTGAAACAGGTCATTATAACTGTTATATACAATCTCCAAACAATCACATCATTAAATCTGCTTTTGCAATATTTAAATAGTCGTCTGAAACCCTCCACCTTCCCCAGCTCCACCTGTCTATATCTGCAATGGGTATCATGTATGCATATAAGAGTTGTCAAATAATTAAAAACCTAAACTGCCACTAGGTGGTAGTAAATGTCTGAATGTGAAAGGTTAATCCATCCAAAAATATAAACTCTCTCATGATTTACTCAACTTAAAGGTATCTTAGGTGTATATGACTTTCTTCTTTGAGTCAAATCCAATAATTCTTCATTTTTCTTCGGCTTAGTCCATTGACTTATCAGGGGTCACCACAGTGGAATGAACCACCATCTTATCCAGCATATGTACATACCACCCAGTACTGGGAAACACCCATAAACTCTTGCATTCACACATATACACTACGGCCAATTTAGTTTATTCAATTCACCTATAGTGTATGTCTTTGGACTCGGGGGAAACCCATGTGAACACAGGGAGAACATGCAAACTCCAAACAGAAATGCCAACTGACCCAGCCGGGGCCCGAACCTTCAACTTTTTGCTGTGATGCGACAGGGCTAACCACTGATCCACAGTGCTGCCCCAAATCCAATCAGAGTTATTTAAAAAAATGTGTCTTGCCTATTTCAAGCTCTATAATGGCACCAGTCGGCTGATTTTTATTAGCAGTCCAAAAGAAATCCAATAAAGCACATCCATCCATAATAAAAAGTGCCTCTCATGGCTCCGGGGTTGAATAAATGTCTACTCCAGTGAATTCATGCATTTGTGTAAGAAAAACATCCATATTTAAAACTTTAGAAACCATTTTGTGTAACTTCTGGGGACCACTGTTTGTTGTGTTCTTCTTCTTCTTTGGTGCTAATGCACCTCAAAAATTCACCTTAAAAAAAAAGCAGAGGACGACGATGAATGGCAATGATGAATGACTGAAGGTTCAATGAAAAATAATGTATGAAGTTTTAAATATTAACATTTTTCTCACAAAACAGCATCGGTTTGCTAAGGGAGAATTTTTCTCATCCCCAGAGTTGCGTGAGGCACTTATTATTATCAATGGATTGAACATTTTTTGGATAAAAATCAGCCGACTGTAGACATTGTAAAGCTATAAAAGGACCAAAAAAAATAACTCTGATTGGATTCGACTCAAGGAAGAAAGTCATATACACCTGGGATATTGTGAGGGAGAGTTTTTAGGTGAATAACCCTTTCAAGAGTTCACACTTAGCTGATGATCGATTATAAAGCTTGTTTGGCATGCTGTCCCGAGAGAGAGCCCTGAGCTCATAAGATCCTCAAGCCCGGGGCTCCCTCCCGTTTGCAGCACGAGAGGGGAGTTTGAGCTCAGGTAGATCTCGAGAACTCCCCTGGTGTAGTAGCTAATGAACAGATAGTGATTGGTCTTAAGAGATAACTGCTTACTAGGAGCATGTCTATTGTGCCGCTTTGGATTAGTCAAGTAACTCAAGATGCATGTTTTTGGACGGTGGGAGGAAACCGGGGAACCCAGGGGTAACCCACGTGAGCACAGGGAGAACATGTAAACTCCACACAGTAAAGTCAGCTTGCTTGGTAAGGACTAGAACCAGTGCCGTTCTTGCTGTGAGGCAACAGTACTAACCACCGAGCCACCCATCTAGGAAAGAAGGAGGAGCAGGAGCGGAAGGGGGGATTCTTCAAAATGAAGATGATTATATGGAACTTAGGGTATTTATAGTGGCTTAGAAATCGTCTCATTGGTGAATCATACATTGAATAATGCGGGACCAGTCGAAAGGATCATAAGCAAGAGATCCTCTCGAAATTAGTTTATAAAAAAACTTTACTTTAATGACTGGGTAACTTAATCACACCATTTTGGCATCATGTGATTCACCAATTAAATGTATAAAAAGCAAGGTGACCTTTCCTTCTAATAACTTCATTAATCTATTTAACATGTTAAATTGATACCCCAAATGCATATACATGGAGCAGCATGTCTTAAAAGCTCACAGCAGCATCTGTGTCTGCATATCGGTTGGAGCAGGTCCATTATTGCACTGCATTAGCACACAAAGCAGATCCAGTCTGCAAAACACTACAATATTCTTTAACTTCCTAAAACTAATTATCATAATTAAAACAAATGACCAAAATTACTAGTTATAGAGTTTCTAAACCAAAACTTTATCTAAAAGAGCCTGAAGCCTAAGAGAGTAAATTTCCCCTTGTGCTGTCATATGTTCAACCTGATGACTCTAGAGAAAACTTCATGCTGTTCCAAGCAGTTTCTGGACACAAGTAGGACAGTAAATAAGGTTTACGCAAGCTGTACCTGGAAATTGCCGACCATAATGAGTCCAGCAGCACAGATCCAGCCGGTGGAGAGACTTGCTGTGTTCAACACACAGTTCTGGTGTTTCTCTATCACATGGGCATAGCGCAGCAACACAATCACCATCACTGAGGGTGAGAAAAACATAATGAAGTTTATTTAAAGAAACACCACAACCAACATAAATTTAAAGCACACAGGGCATTTTTTTAAAAATTGATTATCCATAATGAAAAATGCCTAGCAGACTACAGCAATCTGGTTTTAAAATACAGGACAAGTTTGTGCAACCATCAGAAGAATTATAGCAGCAATCAAGAAAATGTTTTTTTGCTTTCAATGTTTTACAATGCCTAGAATATCTAAATTATGTGACTTCATATGCATGCTCATATTTGCTAGACACTATTAAACAAAGTTCATTCAAGTTTTTTCCTGTGACAATAATCAATATATGGACATGGCTTTAATTATTTTTGGTGACGCAATATATATCGTCCATCATGATTACATAAAAATGAATTTCTTCAACATTGTAGCTGATTGCGCAGCTTCTGTCTAATCTCTACTGGAAACGACTTTACAAACAATGCTTACTGACAGCTGAAGAAAAGGAAATTTTTTTTAATTTTCACGAAAACTATTGACAGTTTAGGAGAAGCTGTCCAAAAGAGTTCTGTTTCAATTCTCCAGTCCACTTCCAGAAAACTGACAATTGTTATGACCCTGTCTTATCTTTTTCTTACCTTTCAGTGGCCTTGCAGTGTGACGTCACAGTTAATTAGTTAATTTATGGGTGGAGGATGTGTATTTTTAAATATGTTGTAAAGAACTGCACTTCCTCTGGTGGACCGTTATTCCCCAGAGAGGTCATATTGTTCCAAGTCTTTTGTTTTGCCGTCTTATGCTTTAGTGTTGTATTTTGGTGAGAGAATTTCAGATGATTTCTTATTTATTTCAAAATCCTAGACAGTTTGTTATACTTTGTAATTCCCTTTAATAAATGTTTATTTCATTATATACTATTTTGTTAATCTGTTCCTTTTTACGGTACGGTCGGGAGTGAGCTGGCCATAACACAATTCACGGTCAATTACATGTCGTTTTTTGTCCCTTGAATGTGTTTATGCCTATTTATATGCTGTTGTATAATCATTATATAAACACAAGGATAAACTGGACTTAAAATGACAATAGTATCAGTTGTCACAATAATTTCTATGATAATATATTGCACAACAAATATTACTTATTGTGACAGGTCAATTTAAAGTATACACATGCAAAATTACATTCAATAAGCGTCAAATCATGTAGTAAAATCTTTGTAAGTAAAAGGTTACATTAGCATGATACAATATGTAAATGCATGTGAATGTAGGGGATAGATGCAATTCAAAACAATCGAAAAAAGAAAACTTCTGCTGTTGACCTGACAACATCTTCATCAACATCTTCTCTATGACTTCAATTTCTCATTGGTAAATCTTTCACTGAGTTAAATCTTGGATAATATCTATGATGCATATTTAGTTTCTGTTCTCCAAATTTCATTCATAAATTACTAAAATGACTACAACAGTGGGAAATTACCAACAACCGCCAGGTGTTGCGGTGGTGGTGGGGGGTTGGGTTAATTACACTACAAAATAATCTGTGATAGAAGTTCACTCAAAAGTGAAAATTCTTTCTGTCAATAATTACTACTACTCCCGTCATTCCAACCTTCAGAACACAATTTTCTCTTTTGTATCAGGTCATTTTTGAAAAGGTCTCTGCAATACCTGGCTGACTAGCTGGACGTTTGCGTTCAGAAGACATGAGTTGATTATATATGGCTGAGTGACATGACCTGAGATGGCTCTGGAGATTTGGCGTGTTTGCTCACTTTTTTTTTTTTTTTACAAACCCTACAAATTGCTTCATCCAAATTATTGGTTCATCTTTCTTGTACACAAATCCAAAATGTTCCCAGGTTGACAATGAAACATTTGGTTTTCCAACGAGATTCATGGACTTGAAATGAAACTTGCTGAATCGTGCCTCATGTTATATTTTAACAGAATCTTTGACAAATAATAAGCTCTTTTGATGTAATATTGTAAAATCTTTGCTGTCACTTTTCATCAAGTTAACAAATCCTTGTTTAATTAAAGTGTTCACTGAAAAGTATTCTAGTTCCAAACATTTGTGTCACAGTAGTGATCATAGCCACACATTTTAAAAGGGTGGTCCACTTCGATATCATAATTCACCATGCACATTCACCATGCACATACACCCCGCCCAGTGAAGGTGCGTGGCCAGAGGTGCTGTAATGTTATAGCAGAGAAAGCTAATATGCCTTACAAACGCTGCTATTTCCACAAAGCTTCTTCTGTTTTTGTATTTGGGCTTCAAGAGGATACGACACAAAGAGAGAAGTGCTTGCATAAAAAAAGATATAGCTCTAGCATTTGACAAAGGACAGCTTCCAGAATCTCTCCCAGTTCAGTGCTGGATTCAGCTAAAAACTCCTCAAAGAAGGAGCAGCTCCAACCATAATAGATGAACTTGTGGATTGTGAGCCACAACCAGTAAGAATTTTTATTTGTTAAAATTGATCTATTACATGAATAGTGCCTAGCGTTAACGGTATGTTATAGTCGAGACTTAAACAAGGATTTAAACAATGGGAATTGATATTTGGCATCATTAACAATTTAACTACAAATTTAAATTTATCCGTCAAACCGCTGTAAACACCCACAATCTTCAGCAACGCTGCAGTGTCTCTATACGACTGCTTTCCCTTTGTTCTCAAATAACGAAATTGCAAAAGATATGTGAATGTTTCATATTACTTACACATGCTTATAACCTGAATGTATGTGAAAGACACTTGTCAGATTTGATTTTAGAGAGCAGGCGTGAGGTTCAGCTGTGTCCTCTTCATTTATCTGATTCAGGCTCACACTGATATGGCTAACAGCTACTCTGACTGATAGTATTTACACAACAGAGGCAAGGCGTGTGCTAGTATCTGGACGTGACACTTCCTGGTGACGTGGAGCCAATTCGTGAATCACAACACATTATGTTAGCTGACCAATGGGTGGGCTTTCGGAGAAACTAGGAAATTTAATAGCCGTTTTTATGTTAGCTGATTAGCAATATATAATCAAAGTAAGATATATGAAAAAATAACTTGATTTTTTACAATTGAAGCATGAGCACATGTTGCTTTGCATCTTATAAACACAATCAAGACTTAAAAATATACTCTGGACCACCGCTTGAAAATAATTCAAAACACTGTTTTGAAGAACATAAAAACATTTATTGGCTCCTGTTTTATATCAGATGTTTGAACAAATACCATAACTCTTGGTGACATACGGTATGTTTTTATGCTAGGTTAGTGTGACCTAACAAACGAGACACAAGAAGGAAAGTCTATTTTCTACCTTTCTCAAACAGCTGGCTCCTAGTCTGACTCACTTTGACAAAACACCATTTCCAGTATTCTTGGATTCATTATTCACTGGAAAGTCTACTATATAGTCAACATGGAAAGACGAGGAGAGAGTGGATAAAAGAGGTGCTTCATGGGGAGACCTTTAACGTAAATCAGGCGGCTGCAATCTGCTCAACTGTTTTACTGCTTGGTTAATGCTTAATGAAAAGTGACTGGGGCAGATGTGGCCCGTTAGAGTGGGGGGAACAGACAATAAACCGCCCCTCCTTTCTCAGCCCAAACCAACTACCAGAATATTCCTAGAAGTAGTTTTGTGTGAACATTACAGCTCTCACGATTACTTAAGAATAACCATATGAATTTATCTATTGGTTAGTCTTGCTTCAAGGCTGGCCCACACGGAATCGGCTGATTTTTTTCCCCATCATTGAGTATTTATTTACTTGTGTAAATGTGTGTAAATTTATATTTATTCAGTTTTTATTTTTAGTAATTAATTTCAGTAATATTATTGATTAATATGAAAGTGTTCACTTTATACTTTATACTTTATACTACAGTTTGTAAAGTAATATTTTCTGTTTTTTAGTAGATATATTATATGATAGACTTGCTTTGTTTAAAAAATACATTGATCTACATGGATATGCATTGCATATTAATAAATACAACTTAAAAAGCTGTTATTTTTATCTCATAAATGAAGTTTTTATTTATGATACTCCCAAAATAATTCCGCATAAATCTGCAGATTTTTTACAAAATTCTCCGCATAAATATAAAAAAAATGTTCACAGATTCTGTCTGGCCCTACTTATAGGTCATTATAGCTGATGATTGAGGTTATCCATCATATTTAATAGTGATTCTGAAGAGTTGAGTTAAAGGACAAAGTAGTTTGATGTAATTTTGCAAAAAAAAATAAATAAAAAAATCTGGATACTGGATACAGTGGATACATCAGACTCTTGTTGTTTTTATGAATCATCTATGCTAAACTATACCCTAAACCTTACCAACAGAAAGAATAAAACCAAGCCTAAAATTAATCAAGTGGCAAAACTCTAAAAAAGGCTGGGTTATTTTAACCCTACGTTGGGTCAAAAATGGACAAACCCAATGCTGGGTTAAATTTTTTACTTAAATTTTAGTGGGCTTGTCCATTTTGACCTAACATTGGGCTAAAACAAACCAGCATATTTGAAACAACTATTCATTTTACATTCTTTTTACATAACTTTAAAAACTTTTATCAAATAATGTTTTACAGAGCTCATACTTGAGCCCACTACATCAAAAAGTACAATGCCTTAAATGTGAGCTAAAGAATAAACTGACTAGATAAGGAAAAACCAACATTATGAATGCAGAAATGTAATGCAAACATATAGTACCGTACAAGAGCCATACAAAAATCAGACTAAATTGGTTTATAATCTGCACCATAATTGTATTTTATGTGCAAAAGAGTAAAAGGCTCTTTTGGGTTTAGGGTTTTGGTAACAAATGTCTGTTATGTACTGGGCTGAAGCCTCATTTCTGTGCCACATTAATGCCTGACCAGCTGATTGAAATCAAATAAAGTATGATTCAAATATGTGAAAAAAAAATAAATATATTTAAATCAGTAACTCATAAGTAATATAGCTGTAATTATTGTTAAACCTTTAA